GGGGGTGTAGGTATGGCCGCCAAGTCAATTTGAGTCACATAAGAATGGTTTACAATGGTTTTAAGAGTGCTTATGGCCGACCCACTTGCTGGAACAAGAATTCTTACAAAAATAGCCTAAAAGTATTATCAGTGGGACTCCCCTCTGACTTCCACTACCAACATTCCAAATTCCAAACAAATAAAAAAAAATTTAAAAAAAAAAAAAAAAGCTATGCAGTTCAATAAACTCCACATTCTTTTTCCTTTTTTTCTTTAAACAATTCAGCATCTCTATATATATTTCTCATTGTATATCTTTTGGTTTCCTATATAATTAAAAAGAAGAGAGAATAGTCATATAATTAAAAAGAAGAAAGAGAAGTCATAATAACTCATAAGCTTAAATATATAAATATAGAAACAGGAACAAAAAGTTTTCTATCCTGTGCTAAATTCAGCCCAACCAACACCAACAACACAAACATAACAATTTTGTTAAATAAACTAATCTAAAACTCTCAGCTAAATTTAGCACCTGTTCCTGTTCCTAATCCCAGATTATTATTGTTATTACAGCTCTACATTATCCTCTATAATAATCATGTACTTAGCCTACAAACACATCATTCTGCCTGTAGATCATGGCCCAGCATTGGCTGTCTTCCTTTGTATAGTCACTTCTTTTCACTTTTTCCTTTTTCTTGCTTTTTTTTCCTAAGATACCAATGTGCATTAATCCTTCTTCTCCAAAATATAATTAGCTATAAATCACTTCTCCAGTGCTTTCTCTTCATTGATTATAAGTCTCTTATCTGAATGTACCACCAAAATTTGGAGTCCAGAAATCTGTAGTAGTCTCAGTTGCTACAGGGAAAGTACTTGATATTGGTACTAGGCACAGCCCTCGGCTCCTTAAGTCTTGTTTTGATCCTTCTTGTTCCTTAACCTTATCAGCACTCTGCAAATAATAACCATTATATTTAGATCATTTAATTTCTATGCACTAAACTTGTTAAATAATTCTCACATAATTAAGTCGCCTAAAAAATAAGTATAGGTAACTGTTCATAAAATGTGGAATTAATAATCTGAAAAATGAGGAAATTAAGTGTGATAACATGTTAAAATAGATAGTATAAATATATTTTTCTACATTGGGAATGTATATAAGTTATAAATCCTTCTATTTAAGTATCATAGCTCACTACGTGAAAAATAAAATATATATAGAGCACTTAATATACATCGCGTTGCAAGAAATATATATATATAGCACTTAATATAATAAGTAGGAGCAAATTTGTAGATGTTTTACCTGTTGGTGTAGAGGGGGTGATCCAGTTTTCAAATACGGAGTACTAAGAACCTGAAATAAATAAAACAATCAAGTAAGTTTGAGTTTCTTGATTCATTAAAAACCCTTAATTAGTGTGTTAATTTCAGTAATGAAGGTAACTCACGTTGACTTGATCATGGAGAAACTTGATGTACTCAATAGCTTCATGGAGAACTGAAGCTGTATCAGTCTGATCAGAAAACAAAGAAATACAATGTCATTAATAACTTGATTGAAAGTCTTATAAAAATTTAGAAGATCAATTAAAAGTTGAAGAGAAAACTCCAAATATTTACCTTTCCGAAAGGTGAAACCAATTGCTGGATAGCAGTTATCCGGTCCCCCAGTTTCTCTTTTCTGACCTGATAACAAAAGGCTGAAAATTCTCATCCATTTCTTTGGACAAAACAATCATTTTACTTGCAAAAAGAAAAAGCTTAAAGCTTCCTCCTTTAGTCAAAAGTTCGATTAGATATGTCCTATACCTTAAAAGTTGGCAATGGTGATGGTGTCTCCATTCTTGGCCTCTTGAATGCTGGTTCACTATTCCCACTTTTCTTAGCCCTCGACTCTCGGAATCCTTCAACATCCGACTGAAATGTGTTTTGAGCAAATGGTTAATTAATCATTAAAAAAAACCTAACAATAGCATGTCCAACTCTCATTTTGTCGAGTTTAAGTTCTATATACTACTGCAACAACAACATACCCAGTATTATCCCACACCGTGAGGTCTGGGTTAAGTTCTATATACTGACTGTAAAATAAAAATTGACACAGTAACAAGTAAAAGTGGACTAACATGCTATCATTGGTTAACTATTAGTACTTGATATGTGCAAAAATACTTAAAGTTTAATGTATTTACCTTGGCAGAATTGTTAGGAACACTGGATTTCTCGTGAAATGTTGGTGACTGCAGTAGCAATTGTGAATGCATAGATGGCAAAAGATTGCCGCGCATATTGTTTAAGGATGTGGGATCAGTGAAAGGAAAACTAGAAGGTGTTTGTTTTGGTAAAGAAGGCCTCAACAAGGGTGGGAATTTAGGCAAAGAAGGTGAAAAGTGATCATTCAAATTTGGCCTATAGTTTAAGGATACTGGGAAATTCATTGGCTGATTATTATTAGTAAACAAAGATTGTTGTTGTGGTTGCTGTTGATGAGGAGGAGGATCATTATCAAATAAGGTCTGAAGTAAAGCTGATGGATAATTAGAAAAAGAAGAATTCATTGGAAAGCTTGAAGAAATCACAGTGGATTGATCAGTATTAGTTGAGCTAGTGATTGGATTCATGCCTAAAGTAAAATCTTGATGATTCACTTGTTTATATGAGTTGTTTGAAGAATCTTCAGTTATAGTAGAAAAATTCTTTCCCAGCTCATGAGAACAATCAACCCCAGTTTCTTGCCTGTAATTCAGGCTTGAATTTAGGTCTTCTTGTAGTATTGTAGGATAACTGCTATCAGCCCTCTCATTTCCATGCCTGCATAATTTCAAGAAAAAGTTACAAACTTTTATCAATAAAAACAACAAAATTGACTTGTTTGAACTTTTTTGGAGAAACCCTTTTTTCCACATAAATGAAAGAATAACACATGATAGAAGTATCTCCTTTTTTTTCTCAGCCTTACAATTACAACAACAAAGCTGAAGTCGGCTATATAAATCCTTACTACGCTCTTCAAAGATACATATTATACTATGAAATAAAAGTAGTAGGAGGCCAAAATTAAATGAAATTTTTCTTACATCATGGTATGATTCCAATCAGGAGTTGAAGAAATTGAT